GGGAGGCCGCAGGAGCTCGCCGAGAAGGTGGCGGCCAAGCGGGAGGAGGCCCGAGGCCCGGGCGACCCGAGGTGAGGCGGCCGCGCCGCGAAGCCTCCTCTTCCATTTGCCTCGCGCTGGGAGGCTTCTCACCTCCGGGAGTGCGTGATTGGAGTCAATCACGAGCACAGCTGGCGTGTCTGTGAGACCAGACGGTGCTTGATCCTTTTTTTTTCTGTCCAAATTCCCAGGAAATATGACATAAAACTCGTCAAAAGTTAAAGAGCAAGTGTCCAATAACTCTTGTTTTGCTTCTCAGCCCTCTAATCCTGCAAAGGAACTCCATGAGATGGGATGGGAAGACATACGAAGAGATCCCAATAGCACACATCAAAGCCACTTACAACAAGTAAGCAAACAGCCTCGCCATTTGGCCTGTTTTCATGCAAAATTAAAGTTAGAGTGTACCTGGGATACAGCTGGTCATCACTGCAAGCAAAATACTCCACAAGTCAGGGAAGCAGCATTCGAGTCAGGGAAGAGAATAACACAGAGCCCAAACCTTGGTGCTGTTCGGGAAGCACAACTGCCTGTGTGGAGCTTAAACAGGAATGAGAGTGTTATTATACATTTTGACTGCATTCTGATATGAATAATTAGATGCCGACAGCTTTTAATGGCAGGTGCATTCCAAAAAAAAATTCCTGCCCTCAGTCTTCCTGTACTGCAGCTGAGCTGTCGCATTATCCTCAGGAGGTGGCTGTTTTCATTAGTGATCCCTAGTGTAGTATTTTACCATTTCTTAAAGCTCTCTGAGGTTCTAAAAATGCTCTGCTTTTTTTAATAAACAGAGGAGGTAAAATGCTCACAGTGGAAGGTGCTTCTGCAACAGTTAAACCTTATCGGAGGAATACTTAGCAGAAGAGGATTATCCAAAAAGGTTTTACTATCCCGGATTCTCTGGGATGACTTACAAGTTCTCTGCAGCTGGTTAGTGCAACTGAGATAAGTCAGGGTGCTGAGTTAAGATGGCTTTGAGACAGGAGACAAGAGCAGCAAGCCTTGCAAGTTAAGCAGAATGAGAAGAAACTGAAAAGTCTTGTTCTTACCGCTTTCCTCCTGTCCTCTCCTACTACAGCACCCACATCCAGGTTGTCAGCTTCGACAACAGGCCCTTCTCCCGCACATCCTGCGGCACTGAAGGCTTCCAGAACGCCAAGAAGGGCACTGCCATCGCAGCGCAGACCGCAGGCATTGCAGCAGCAGTGGTGAGTCTGTGCTCGTCATTCCCACTCCGGCGAGGGGAGAGCTCCTCCGGGACGTGCTGCCAGGGTGCGCGGAGAGGTGCGTGTTGGGAGACTCCAGCTGTTTTCAGCGGGATGGAGACGGCAGGAAAAATCCTGCTTCTCGTTCATGTTGCTGTGCCCTGTTCGTGGGCAGCAGTCTGGCCTCTGTCCCTTAGAGCTGTGCTTCACACTGCCGTTTGCGGACTCTT